GGAAGCTCCCCAGGAGATTCTTCACTGGAGAAGATCCCATGCGATCTGTGCAACAGCCGGGGCGTACGGCTGGGCTTTATCCCCAGAGTTTTCCATCCGTTAGAAGCATCAGCAGTGAGCCACTAAATAGACCACTAGGGACAGATTCCTCAGGTCCCAGAAAGCAGAGGCAATATTCCATCTCTCGGGCTTCTGCACTTGGAAGCTGTGCTCACTGGTTTCACCTTTTCTTGCTTTTTTCCACCCCACCCCACCTCAGCACATTATCTTCCAAAAAGAGATGAGGTCTTCCAAAGATCCACAAAACACACTTCTCTCCTAGAACAATTAACTTAATTTGCTGTTTAATTTGACAGACTGTCAAGATCCTTGCACCTGAACAGCAAAGAGAACACTCACCTTCTGGTTTTCATATGTCATTTTCATGAGATCTAAATCTGCTGCAGTTAAAGCCATTAAGTCCTCCAAAATCCCTGTCAACTTAGGAGGCCGTGTAACCTGCAGAGAGTGCCCTCGCTGATGGCGTATGATCTTGCTGAAAAGTTCTGGTGCTTAAATACTTACCCATATCACACACCTACAGTGATATCCAGCCCTGCAATCAGACATCCAGAATGATAATACACTGGGAATACCAGAAAACAGGTCAAGAAAAAAACAGTTCTTAAATAGAACTTAATGTGCACTGCTGAAGTGTTTGTGCTGAGCATTGTGTTCTGCCTCCTCAATATCCTTTTCTTCTAATATGGAAGCCAAGATCTTCGGGGGAGGATTGTCATTTCCTCTTTGTGCATCGTACAGCAGTGAGCATAGAAAAGGAATTCCTGTCTTCCTGATATGAGATAATCTTACCCAAAGTGACCAGAATGACTTATGCAGCAAGTCTCATCCTCCAGACCATCTCCATCAGGGTGGGTCCACGGTAATACCTGGGCCTTAGCCTATGTAAGAGAACATCATTCCACGCCTCCACACACAAAGAAAAAACGTTTGGGGAGATAAAAGTATTTATTGCAATAGTTTTAACAGGTCTGTCCTTTGCAGCTGTTTTAAAATAGCACCAGCACCAACCTCAGCTGCTTCCCAAAGAGCTGAAGGGCAGCTGTGGTTAACTGCCTGGAGGAAAAGTCGCATGCCTTCAGCTCTCCCCCTTAATTGCTAGGAAATGGGCCTTGATCATTAATACATGTCTGATACGTCTATGTTTAAATCTCTGTAGAGCTATCATGTGCGGAAAGAGAACAGAGCTGGGTACCCAGCCAGACAGCCCAAAAGCCTTTGTTAAGCTGTAGTTAAGGTTGCGCATATGTCAGATAAGTCAAGAGAAACAGCAGAAAATCCTCTTAGGGCAGCAAGAAATTGTTCACTAAAGCAAGATCTATTAAAACACAGAAAGGGAGTTAAGATGTCCTAAACAGTCCTCAACCACTGCCATCTCCACAGCCGGCCAAACGCTTTATCAGTGCTGTGGTGCAGTGCAGAAGTAAGTTCTGGTGCTCCGCAGAGCATGGGGGCCTCTGTTTCCATCTCTGCTGCTTCAGTTACAAGCCTTTAAGTGCTTAATGAACCCAGGTAAGAGTAACAGGGCTAAAATATTTATAGATACAGGTCTGAGTAAGCTGAACGCACATGAGCGATGAGAACAATACCAGAAGACGTTATTTGCAGAAAGTCACTGCCCGAGTCCCTCCATCCTCCAAGACAAAGCAGAGCATCCAGCAGCATCAGCACATTACCGGGCAGCGTGTGGATGCATTCCTAATGGGTTTATCTTTCTGATATGACTACGAAGCCTTCTTCCACGAGACATCACTGGATGCCCTTTAAACCCAGCTGTTTGTGATGAGGAGAGCCAAAGGAATGCTTCTGGATGCTCCAGAAGCCCCCAGCTGGCCTCGCAAGGACTCCCAAACTAAGGATTCTGCTCCAACATCCTTGAAAGAAACTTTACCAGCCTCAGTAGCTCCATCGCTGCCTAGGGAGCTGCAGCAGGGAGAGACATTTCTTTAAAATATTTAGAGCACTGTGGGAGACAAACATCCCCTAGCATATGCTGCTGATTTGCTCAAGGCAAACTGTCCGACAGTAGGGCCAGGCACAGCTGAAGTGACAGGGATGGATCTGACACCGTGCTCAGGCGTGAGTGATAACCCTTGTAACGAAGCAGAGAAAAAAAACTGTTCCAAAACTCATGCAGGAACCAGAGACGGGTCCTGATCTCACAGGCATTCAGGAGGTAAATCCTACATTTCCATACAGTCAGGTCAATAGGTAGCAAAGTCTTGTTGATCGAGCCCTACAGAAACAGGAGCAAAGTTAGTACGTGCAGGCGGGCTTGTTTTAAACCCTCGTGAAGATAAGGACTGAGGAGGGAGCTGAGAATTGCCAGCTTTTACTGCGTCGCTGCTAGTCACCCAGGGACACCACCTGGCCTCTGCTGAGCCCACAGTTAATAGGAAACAGAGGCTCAGAGCATCCTCACCCCTCCTGGGTCTCTGAAACACACCAGGGCAGCAAGGCTCTTCGGGACAAGTCACCAGACACAGAGCCAGGCGGGCTGTTACAATCATTCAGCTTCTGTGAATGTTTAAGCATGAAACCTGTGCGCGTTCTTACGGCCCGTCAGCTGGAAAGCTGCCAGCCACGAAGGCCAAGCACGGCTCCGAGCCGAATTGTTAGAGGAAGAGCAAGGGAAAGAAACAGCTCCCTGTCAGCTCCCCCACTTACTGCAGGCTTATGCAAATCGCCCAAATGAACACCAGCAGCACTGACCCCAGCCGCAGAATAAATCCATCCTGGGTGGGAGGAGGGGGAAGGTGAGGGAGGGATCTGGCCCAGGAAGGTGTGCAATTTACGGAGAAGAAAAAGCATCGCGTACTCTGAGAATCCTTCTTCTCTCCACACTGAGCTTTTCTGATTCATTAAAGCTCCCAATCTGCAACATGTTTAACTCCTGTGAACTCCTCTGCAGGCAGGGGTGGAGGGAAGACATCTCTGGGGAGCAGCGCCGAGTCAGCAGAAAGGAGAAAGCTTTTACAGCTCCACCAGCCGATACTTCCCTCTCCAAGGGAGCGGGGCCAGGAGAGATGAGACTTGCAAAAAGGAAGCAGTAAATAAGAATTGCAATTTCTTTATTTGCACAACTTGAATTCGAGTTACTGGTGAACGCTCACAAGCCCCTAACTGCCTGCAAAGGGCTCAGCACTGCGAGGATCTGGACGGGGCCCAGCTTTAGCTGCCAGCTCAGGCACTTCCCAAGAGCCTGGTGAAGTTATTTCATGGCAGCACGGTGTGAATGAGAAAGCCAGCACCATGAAGTACTCACGGAAGGCAGCTTCTGCCCCTCCAGGGCAGAAAAAGGCTCTGGGGGGAAAAAAAACCTGCAGTTGTGATTTCCATGGGGTTTATGACATCTTTGGTAACTTCCAGTTGCTGCCAAGGTGCAACTTTGTCAGTAATTACTGGAGCCTGCCTTTCTGATGAGGCTATATTTAACTAGTTCATCAAGGACATGCAGGTCTTGGGACGGGGATGTGTGTGCTGCGGTACCTGGCTGGTGGTGATCAACGCACAGCTCCTGAACACACGAACAATACAAGGGCAAGCAAGGGATCAGTTTTGGCTTCCTCTGCTCCATACCATGGAACTGTCTCCTGCTTTAGGAAAGCACTCCCTTTTAGTTCGTAAACACTTCTGGTTGGAAGTCCCTGCAGCATCCTCCCATCTCCAGCCTTCCTTTTGGAAATAGGAGAGCCACGGTTTTACACAGCACTACAGCAATGGCATCATTGTGGCTCTGTTGACCCCAGATCCCAGCCCAGCCTCTGAATTCACGTTCAGCACCCCCTCTGGGAAGCACGAAGCCAAACCCACGCTGCCCTGCAGTTTGTAAAGGGACAGCACAGGAGTGACAGCAAGCACAACATTTGTGTAGCCTGCTTTGTTGTTACCCACTGGCACATTCAGCCTCAATTAGCCAAGCACAAGTCAGCACATTAGCTGCAACAGTGCTTCTTTTATGGCGGTGCTCATGCCTGCGCTCACAGCCCAACGCCGCGAACTTCTGGGGGCGAATTTATCCTGCAGCAGCCCTGCCAGATCTAGGCAATTTGGGCCTGCTCTAATTAACCCGTGTGCAATCATCATCATTTCCACACCATCTAGAAGAAGAGGCAGAGGTCACACTGCACTGGGCATTGCTTCCCTGCATTTTAAGCAAGAGGATTAACTTATTCACTGCTGCTTTAAAGCACTGATGCAAAGAGAAGTGCACGGGGAGTATCCTGCACCCAGATCACTGCACATGGGCACACCGAGACCTGTGCACACAGGCTGCTTCCCCCTATGGCTGGGGGTGTGTGGGGGGCTCTTTTTTCTTTAAAAAACGAATTATAATTCCTCAGTCCACCTCCTCCTTGAGTGGAAGTCTCCAAGGTCTGAAGTTCAGACACGCAGAAGGCTTGAGCTCATGTGCAGCTACTCAGAGCGCTTTGGTAGCCAGCAGATGCTTACTCGCGGTGCTCAGGTCCTCCTCCCTCCCTCACCAATTTATCTTTATTACTTTAAATACTCCTATCTGCAAACCGCCTGGCCCTTATCACGGCAGAAGGGAGCCTCAGATCTGCTGCCTGCCAGGCTCCGCACGCCGCCGCTCCTGGAAGCGCAGCAAACTTTTCTTGCCCTTATTTCCATGCAGAGGTGGCACGGGGGCTTCTGCTCAGAATGACAAAGCCGTCCACAAATCACTTGGGAATCTTCTACACTCAATTTGCTCCAGCTCTGCCGGGCAAACAAGAGGCAGGAGGCACATATACATTACTGCTGATTAGTCCGTGTCGCCAGTATCAGCAGCCACGCACGCAGGCTGACCGTAACTTTAAATATTGATAACCAAACTCATATATCATAGGCCTGGGAGAGTGACAGTTTCAGTGCATAACAGCACAGGCTTTCTACAATAATCAAACACTCAATAATTCATGAAAATATATCCCCCCAAATCAAATTGGAAGCTATTTTGTGTAATATATTATTTAAAATTCAATATTATAATGCACACAACTTCTGCTCGTACCACAGAGGACCATTTCAAAATGTGATTATGTGCGGACTCTATTTAAAAGTGACAATTTTGCTTTTCATTTGTTTAACAGCTTAAATGGAAGAGCTCAACTGGAACTAAGTCATCTGACAATGAAACCAAAGCCGACATAAGCAACTTTGCAAACTTCATGACAAGTCAGAAAAAGGCATGAATCTCCCTCACTGCTAACACAGATGAATTCCCCACTCCGATGCTCACCTCCACAATTTCCAATGTGCTAAGTGAAAGGAAAGGTGCTGCAAACCCATGACAAACTTCAGTTCCCCCAGTCTGTCGCCCTGGTCCCGTTGAATAAGGAGAAAAACATTTACTTGCATTCCAGGGACCCTCGCACAGAAAAACAGCTTTGACTTTGCATCCCTGCTTATTCCTGTTGGAAAACCCATTTGTGTAGGGGAAGGCTGCCTGGTGTGAAGTGCCAAGAGAAGAGGGTTTTGCCCTTGTAAACAGAATGCACTGGAGCATAAAATACAATCAAGATTTGTGACAAAATCCAGCCCGGGCAGACGTCATTCCTCAGCGGCGGCGGGGCAAAGTGGCACGGTGTGATTGAGGGCACCGAGCTCGCAAAGTGACGGCGGGGGAGGCTCGCAGCGAGCTGGCTCCAAGTGCAGGGACCGGCCCTGAAGGAGAAAACTACTTGGTGAGGAGGAAAATCTCAGCCTGTTTATGAGCTGTTCACAACTAGAGCTGCACGAGTTCGGTGTCAGGCAGTCGCCAGCTCTTCAGTCAGTGCTAACACCAATCTTGCGTCTTGTCCATCTACTGCCAATTGGATATTTTTTATTTGCTCCCAAACAGTGATTACTAAGAAAAGTAAAGTCGAGGGAACAAACGCTCAGCTCTCTCAAGCTATCACCCTACAGGCAAAAGATGCTGCTTTGAATTTTCTCTTCCTATCTGCTGCCTTTTACCACCTACTTTCCACTCCTTTGGCCACCTTGATATTACCCTTTTGCCTGTTTCTGCTTTTCCCCCCTTTCTCTGCTGTTCCAAGTCAGAACAAAGTCAGGGACCTGAGCCCAAGTACTGCCTCCTTTCCAGAGGTTCAGGAGGGGATGTGAGCAGGGCTGTACCCCGTGGATGAGCCAAGACAAGGAAGCACGGCAAGGTTCCCCCACAGCTCAAGAACCAGGGCTGAAATCCTGGGGTGAAGCAGGTGCCCAGGAGCCTGGAAGTTGCTGTTCCAGACGGCACAGGTATGGCTCAGGCTCTGCTACCAACCCTCGTTTTCAAAATGCTCTAAATTAATCTCTATTAGTGTCAACTGACGGCACTACTCGCACACACAGCACAGTAAGACTTGCTCAAACTGGTGTCCTAGGACCTGCCCTACCAGGTACTACAGAAGTATTAAGTATTTGCACCAAGAATGCTTATTTCTGCCTCCCTCTAGTTGTCTCCTATACTCCATGCGTCCTTCGAAATGAAGAATTTAAAATGTTTTGCTTGGCCTTTTGTGTCTGTTCACTCTTGCCCTCAGAGGTTTTCAGCCTTGTATCACAGATGCCTGGTGCTTTGCCACAGACAGACGCCGGCATCCTGTTAAAAAGCCCAGTAGCAACTGAAGAAGTCAGAGGGATCGCAGCACTCAGCTAAAGGACTATTTTCAGAGCAATTAAAGACACTTAATATGTTAAACTGAAAGATTAAGAGGTGACGCAGTAGCACAATAGAAAAATACTAGGTATGAAAGTACAGATTTGGCAGAGAAAGGCAAAACAGAAATAGTGGCTTGAAGTTAAAGCCTCAAATTCCAACAAAAATGTCAGTTTTCAAGGTGTGAGTCACCACCTCTTCCAGAAAAGTGCTGCTCAGTACTCTGATCTCCCTGTGGATGGCTTGACAGCAGTGGTGACTTACTCTGGGGGAAGAAGTGGAGAGGAAATATCAGGAAAGTGCTCCCATGAAATGATATCGCAAGGCTGTCACATTTGAGAGGTTAAAATGGTTCACAGGCACATGCAGGCTGTGTGACTTTCACCAGTGAACCTCCAGATTTGCCGTGCTCTGACCAACACAGCTCCTGGGTTTGCCGTACAAAGCACTGGCTGAACTCCCCGTCACCACACTTTAAACGACCTTAAGCAGGCCAACAAACCCCCAGCTCCAGTGCAGTGGCCACAACCTGGTTTCATGCAGTTGTCCATGCAACAGGACTTTGCAGCAGCGGGAATGGCATTAGGAACACGGAATGGGTGCTTGATCCTCTTCTGTAGCACTCCTAGGACATAGGAAATGGTAATAGGTAACTCTGAAATGGAAGAGGATATTGGTCTTTGCCGCAAAATTCGTACACTATGGAAATAATGAAAGGGCTGCGGACACGGCAGCGGGCTCTGGGTACCAAGCCAGCCCAGATGATACAACCAGCATGGGTGTGGGAAGAGCCCTGTCCCTGAAGGGCTGACCACAGCTCGAGCCCAAAGCCTGAAACAGGCTCCCTCTGGGAAAATGGAACTGGAACGAAGCATTCCGCAGCGAAGTCATCGCTTGGGGTGTTGAAATGCTGCAGTGTGATGTGGCACTTTGGTACACATGCAGACATTCACACATGGCTGCATCTCACTTTTAAATGTCTCTCAAGAGTTGTATATTAAACAGAAGAAGGATTTTTCCAGGAACTAACACAGTTGGCAGCCTTTTGTCTCTATTTTTTTAGAGTAATTTATGAAAGAAGAAAAGTAGCAGAGTCAATTTACAAAAGGCTGCAGTCTGGACTTTGATAGATGAACAGATACACTAACAAAACCTCGTACTTCTCACTGAACACTCCATCTTCTTATCTGTTAATCCTGGTGAAGAAAGAAAGAGGGAGGCAGGCAGCTGAGGAGCTCAAAGAGCTGGGTAATGTTTAAACCAGTGAACAACCAACCCAAAGACCAATCTTCCTGCTTTCTTCCAGACCCAACCGGATAATCAGCTAAGCGTTTCCTCTTGCATTTTGCCTCCCTTCTGGGAGGGGATGAGCGAGATGACAGTGATTTCAAGCTACAACCTGTTGTAAAAATGTCCTATGTAATTATTTGAAGCACAGCCTGGTAGCTGTGAAGGAGCAGCCCCCCTCCTACAATCTAGGACATCGTACCGGGACCTAATAACAGTGCCAGGGGTGATACCAAGGAGATGACAGCAAACAGCAGCACTTTTCCCAGCTGGCTACCCAGCCCTGCTCTCAGGCAGCTTCGCAGGCTTGCTTCTGAGGATGTTACTCAAGTTACATCCGTGCTAATGAAAGCAGCTCAGCCGTTAGCACACTGTAATCTAGAACTTAAACAACAGAATTAAGGAAAAAAAAACTTTGCACTTCCAGAAATATATGAGGAAGGCTTGGCACTTCCACTGAAAGATTCAAGTGCAGGCTAGGATTTCTAGGACAGGCCGCCAGCTATTGGGATGCTCTTTCAGTGCTATATATTCATATGTTAGTCTAAAAATGGTGCCCAGAGTCCCAGCTCCATCAGCAGTTCTCATCTTTCTGCATCCTCAGCGGAGCTGCTGTCCCCTGCACATCCAGATATCCTCACGCTCATCTCTCACACAGTATTTTGAAGACACAGTTCTCATTTCTCTTCTAAATTTAAAATGAAAAGTAACTTCCAAAGCTCAGCATTTTTACAGTGAATTTCTTGATTTGTGACAAGTGCTATAGGAAGAAGCAAGTATTTTGTGCTTCATCTGTTCACGTCCCTCAAGTACAGCCCTCCTCTCCAAACCCGAAATTTCTAACCCATTAGTCTTTAAAGCAGAAAAAACTGTGGAGACTTGAAGAGAAACAGAAACCAAATGAAAAAGAATAATTACTCTCTCCTGACTTCAACGAGGCTTACTGCAGGATCTGCTGCAATTCCTCACAAGCACGATGAGCACCAACGTACACATAACAAGCACAACAGAAATATGCATTTAATTGGAGAAAGAATCTCCTTGGCAAGAAGGGCCTCATGTGTTTCTCTAACAACGCTGCAGACATTTCTTTGCACAGTAAATCCATTATGTCACCACACAGAAGAAACTCATGCAAGAGTGGGTGAAAGCTAATGTAAGCAAAAAAAGGCTCCTTGAGCAAAACCTGCAATACAAGTGAAAAGCATGAAAGATGGCAGCGACTCTGCCCCCTAAGCTCGAATCTGCAGATCCCATCTTTTCTTTCCCTTAAGCCCCAGCTCCTGGAGCCATATGATGACATGAGAACCACCTCAAATCGAGCTTCATAATCTCAGTGAGGAAAAAACCCTGAAGAAAGCAGTCATTAAAGGATTCCAAAAAAAAATAAGTTTATAACATTAAGATTTTTTGAACCTGCCCTAAATAAATATTGCCTCCCTCCTGCTCTGAATGGTAGAGGTGAGTCAACGTCCAGAGCTGCTGTGCTACGGCACGATAGCATCCAGACAGTCCTTGCTCCTTCCCCAAATCCTACCTGAGCTCTAGGATCTGCAGCCCAGCTTTCCCTCTTCCTTGCTCTGCACTGCATCATTACACGAAGCTCCCTGCATTCCCTCCCCCGTCTCTGCACAACTCCTCTGCACTGCAGCAGTACCAGAAACACGTTTTTTTTCCAGCTCATTTTCCCCACTCTCTCCCACGCTGCAGCACTGCAGCCTGCACTGCTCTGCCACCCAGCCCTGCACTGCAGCAGCTCGCTGCCTTCCCTGGTCTCTCAGATCCCTGCTCACAGGTTCTGGTTTTGCACTGCAGCATTGCAGAAAGCCTTGGGCTCTGCCACCTCCCTCCAGTGCTCTGTGGCACAGCCCAGCCCTGGAGCATCAAACCCGCCCTGCTGCTTCCATCCCTGCTCTGCTCTTTCCATTCAGTGCCAGGCTGCAATGTTGCTGCAGCATCCACAGGCTTTTGTGACTCTTACACTCTTCTGTTCCTACCTGTGGTATTGCAAGGATTCCTCTCGCGCCCCAATGCACCCCTCAGCAGTCAGATCCTGCTTTTCACTCCCAGAAGATGCACCCCTCCCTCCACCCCCACTTCTTGAGCAGTTTCACATTCTCTCTGCTTGTGCAGAAGTCAGCAGCCACTGCCCAGGGACAATACTGGAGTACAGCTGGCAAGTACAGATTGTTTAAGAGTCATCCTGCATTTACTAAAAGGAGGTCATGCCTAACAAACTTGATTAATTTCTTTGAGGTGGTGACAATGACAAGGGACAGGGTCGAGAAGTAAAGCATAATTTAGTTGGACTTCAAGAGCCTTTTGATACAGTACCACATGAAAGGCTAATTTGTAAGGTTAATATATATGCTGTTGATAGCAAAATACCCAGACAAGTAAACATCTTTTTTTAATTACCCTGCCACAAAACAACTAAGAGGAAAGGGAAACCAGTGGCTGGTCATGGGAAGGGGAAAAGGAAATTATTACAGGAACGTCAGACATTTGTACACCCCTGCCCTGCAGGCACTTTTCTAGTACTTTCTAAGCAGCCATACACAATTCACTGTGGAAACCACTTGCTTTGGTGACCAAACAAGACACAGATGCAGAAGGGTCAAAGTTACGTAAGTTATATAAGTACAATAACTGTGCCTCTAAAGAATATGTAGCATAATGCAACAATTTATAGCTGCGTGGTGCTCAATAGAAGGCACCATGTGAGATGAACTGGTGGTGTTACAAGCATGTAAGGCTAGACAGGTATTCAGAGGCCATTAAACAGAAAGAAGGAATGCAAAGCAAGATTGAAAAGTCTGAACATAGCCTTGGGTCTACCAAGGCAAGCATACCTTTTTGGTCACTGCACAGGAGACAGGTCACTGCTACCATCAGTTGTCTTGCTCCAAGTGGTACCAGAGGTCAGTGATGTCAACAAGACAGCAGGTTGCAGGTTCCAGGCCTTCACATGCAGTCCACGCTCTTGTTGGACATTAAAAAATCACCTGGAAGAATAAGATTACCTATCAAATTTAGAAATTACTGAGGCATTTTTGTGTTTTAACATGGCTTGACTACTGCAAGACCTCTGGAAGGTCCCTGCAACCCTGCACCACTTCCCAGCTTCCTCACAAATTAGGGACTACAACCTGACCACTGCTCTCTGCTGCCAAGCAGCTCAGTGTTTCTTCTTTTCCTCAGAAAAAAAAAAAAAAAAAAAAAAAGCACATCTGTTTTCAGTAAATGCTGTAAATTAGTTAATGTTTGTAAAGTGCTCTGATCATGTGAAGTGCTATATAATTACTACATATTATCAATATAATTTGGCTAGATTGTGCCTCAGCCGCCTCCTCTCTTCATTACAGTTTTGAGAGAGTTTTCTCAAACATCAGCTCTTTGGGGCAGGGACTTTGCATGCCATCCATCTCAAAACAATCTTGACCTTTCTTGGAGAGCCCCAGGAAATAATTAAAAAGCCACAGCACTGAGGCACATCACCGGAGCCACGCACCCAACCGCACTTCTGCTGCAAGCAGACTGCCAGATGCCTCCAAGGGAGGCGGCCCTACTCTTTAGGAAGCTATCACCACCCCAAGGAAGCATTTGGGGTCCACAAGTCAATATAATCCAAAGGAAGCACAACTGATGGTAAAAATATCCCAGGCACTAGGAAGGGCAGCAGCCTCTGCTAGACCTGGGCTTTGTACTGGGGTGGGAAGGCCCTGACCTAGCTGAACTGTTGCAGATGTTTCCCAAATCCCTGCTCATCTCCATATGTTCATTAGAGCTCCATTAAGAGCAAGGCATGTATATAGATATGTGAATGTGTCAGGGAGTACCAGGACTCCCAGCTGTAACAACACGGGTACAATTTAAGACTGGTCAGAGCAAAGCTTTAGTGACCAGACACAGTGTACCCAGGCACCAACCCCTTCACCCAGGGATTGCAGACCCCCCTTACAGACTGTTTGGGGAAGAGACAAGGAAAATCACTCTTCAGCAAAGCCAGGGGTGTGCTTCTGGGACAAACACACCCCAGGCACTGCCTCCTGGGCTAACCAAGGCCAGGACTGCCCAGGCACCCAGCACCTGCGCTGCCTCAGCCCGGCTGCTGGCTCGTGGTCATAAAGGGGTGCTGCTTTTGTCAGGGTGACCTTCTTAATCAGCCCTCCCAGATCTAAGCTATTAATGATTTTTTCCACCACAAACTGTTTTTTCTTTTCCAAATAACCTGCTCCTCAGTGTCTGCTTCTAGGGAACCCCAGATTTTTACAGGCTTGAGAAGCAAGAGCTGTATGAAATTCCTCTCAGCTCCAGACTAAAACCTGAGTTTTTTTTAAAAAAAAGCTTGTAGTGGAAACGAACCGAGCTTAAAAACACCCAGCTTAACTGCCTTTAGAAAGGCACACACGAGGCACAGCAAGAAGCACAGAATTGTACGGGTTGGAAGGGACCTCAAGAGACCATCGGGTCCAACCCCCGATGAAGAACTTCAAGAAAACCTTAAAATTGACCCTTCAGAGAGACAAGCACCCTAAAGACTTAAATTTCACACACAAAGTAACAAAAACAGACCGACGAAGCCCGAACCCAGCCTGCTCCCTACCTGCGGGGCCTCAGGGCCTGAGCCCGGCCCGGCCGCTGTGAGGGGCCGAGGGGCCGGGGTCGGGCGGGGCCAGGCCGGGGCCTTCAGAAAATAGTGGGTTTAAACATTTTCCTTGGGTTTCTCTCTCTCTCCTAAGGATAAATAATCATAACTTGAGGGTAAAATTCCCCAGAGGTTGTCAAGCTGCTAAAAAAATAAATTTAGAAAATAATTCGGGCTGTGACAAGTTGTGTTTAAAACTGCTGAAGTGAGTTAGAAAATAAAGCGTTGCTTCAGATCTTAAAAGCGGCAAGCATCTGACTATGTAAAAGGTGCGATTGGGCTGCTGGGGGACTTCTGGAATGCACAAAGTGCTTCACAAAGCACGGAAAATGCTTACTAACGTGTCTGTAAGCTAGTGCTTACTGGCAGCATGAGCTGAGAAAAATATTTACCTGTGGGTTTGGGAAGCTGCCCTAGAGGAAGGCTCCCTGAAGCAGGGACAGGCAGGCATGCTCAGGGACGCCCGAGAAGCCTCTGACAGGAGCAAAGTGTCTGAATTGAGCCATTAAAAGCTACACAGAAGTTTATTTTTCCTCCACAAGTCATGGCTTGGTCTTCGAGGAGTTTGCTGTTGTGGAGGTTTTTGCCTTTGGACTTGGTCTCCTGCACTCTGCGGGGATGGGTGGAAGCCCAGCACCGCTCCTACCCATGAACGTGGAGGAAGGAGGGCTCAGAGCTGGTTCTGGTAAGCCTACAGCTTCTTATTCCTTCCCACTAATAACAGGCCTGACACTAAAAGGTTCAGAAAACACAAATACAATATTCAGCCACTTTCTCAATGAAACTACTTGCCATGAATCCTTTCCGTAACCTGCATCTCTCCACTTCGTGTCCCTGCTTGTAGTGCCGAGGGTTGGTGTGTTCAAATCTTTCAGAGAGAGACTAGGAAACTTCAATATTTTTGGCATGGGTGAGACTAAAAAAGCAATTGAGGGGAAAAAATGGGTATATAAAACAGCGGACCAGATCATCTGCTAGTGCAAATGGTTTTAATGCTGCTGAAGTCAATGGAGCAATGTCAATTTACAGCTTCTGAGGCTCTTGCTTAGTCTGCAGACCTGGGCCAGAAATCAAGGCATTGGAGTTGAAACACCTGGCTTGCAAATCCCGAAGGAATAGGTTTGATCGTAAGTTCTTGCTTGTTAAGGCTGAGACAGAAGGAATCTTCTTGGCCAGGCTTTTGGGGAGCGACCAAGAGTGGGATTCAGTTTTTGTTTAAAAAGCAGAAGTGCTGGACAGAGGCAGGACCTCTTGAGACCCTCTGTCTTCATCTCATATTTTGGCCAACAATGGTCAACTGCTAGCAAAGGTTGTCCCTCTTTTGAATGTATTTGTTGCTTCTTTCCTTGCAGTGTGAGAGGGATTGCTTTAAGAAAAGAGAAAACAAGAAGTTCCAGTAGTTAAGATTATAAATATATCCTATTAGGGTTTCTTTTTCTTCCCTTCCAGACAAAAGCATTTCTGCTTCCAAGCTTGATAGACCTCCTGACCCTGCTGATGTGGGTGGATGGCTCTGCATGTTCTGAATCATTTGCTTCCTTTTCAAGTGTTGCTTTCTCCTTATTTCAATTACCCTTCCTTTATAATTACATGGGCCGCTCCAGTGAGCGGGAGTGCTCTGGAGCTGACAGACCGTCTAACAACAGGGCATGCTGGAGGCAAAATCTACATCCTTATCTACCTTGGGCAGTAGGGAAGCTGTATGTTTAATAGCACAGGAGAAATTGCTCAAGGATATTCAGACAAGAGCAATTGGTGCTGGGTTCACTGCCCAGGCTTGCACCAGGCTGGACCATGTGTAATTGCTGTCGCTGTCCCTTAGAGAGTTATAAACTGCACGTGCAAGGATCACCTCCCTTCTTTCCTGCTGAGTGATTGCCTCTCGGAGCAGGAGTCAATGAAGCTTGGTCTGATACCTATCTGAGCTCGATGGGAGTCTTTTAACTAAACTTGGAAGGGATTAGTTTAGCCTCCAGAAGGTGCAGCCAGCACGGATGTGGCTAGGACAGGGTAGGAAGGGAAGGTGGGAGCTAGTGACTGACGCCTGGCCCCGCAGCTGCAGGTGGCTGTGGATGTACAGCGCTGTGACTCCTGGGGCCAGGGATAAGTCTGCATCAAACTCAGTTTTTCTCTATGTAGTTTCCCAAGGAACCAACTCTTTTGTTCTAATTTTCATCTTATTTGCAATTAAAATTAAGCGACTGGTTTTGTATGGAAATCTTGCAAAGTGGTACATTTCAAATAGTGAAAGATTTAGCTTTATTTAAGAGATGGAGGCTTAACTTTGTGTTGCAAGTTGTTTCCAGTGAAGCTGTGCCCTGGCTATTTTAAGAATATGCTTTATTAAATAGTTTCCCAAAAGTTCAAATGGATTTCTGAGGCTGCTTCCTGATTTCTCTCCCTGTAGGATTCAGTCTCACTGAATATCCCATCCAAACAGCGCACTGATAATGTGGTGCCTTTTATTAACACGTAGGGATATTGGAAAAATATCTCCTTAATTGGGCCTTAAAAACCTGTCCCAAAGTCAAAGGCAGAGGAACCATTGGAGCCTTTGCAGAAAAGGTGCACCCAGCGAGGGCTTGCAGGTGTTTATTGTAGACGAAGGGATTTTTTTAGCCAATTAATTACACATTTCAAATTTAATCTTATATTGAAATTCTAAGGGGAACGTGTGTGGGAACAGACTGGGAGAGGGTGTCAAAAGGTTTTTCTTTAGCGGCAGTAGGTTCCTGCAGTGAGTCATGAAGAAGGGGCCATAATTGTTCCCATTGTCTTGTGTGCTTGGTACAGCTACCTGTTGGTTATTCATGAACACAACATTATCACTCACATTATTTTGGTTCCGTATGAAAGAGATTAAGCTGCTGGGGCTGCACAATACCGTGGCACCAGAGGATAAGAACATAGGACTATTTTTTCTCTCGATTCATCTAGGAATTAAAGGTGTAACAAATAACTTCAGATCCTACCACAAAGGAGAGCAGTCTTGCAGCCTGCACACACAACTTTCTACTCTGTGTTTCTCTTGCTTGTACTTTGTTCTGTGCTCAGCCAACAGGTACGAGGAGAGGCACGGATGCTTGCTCTCCTCAAAGTGAGCCAAGGCCACTGCTTTGTTACTGGGGACGGGAAGCAAGAGGAAGGCAGCCTTCCCTTAAATTCGGCGGAGATCAGAAAGACATTAGTGCATACAGGCATGTCAGTGCTATTACAGAGCAGACAAGTCTATCTAGTCTGTGATCGCACTTAGCTCCGCAGTGCTTGTGGCTGGAGCTGCAGCCGTGCTGCAGCAGTCATGGTGATGTCTCCATACCTCCTTAGCTCCTCTCACTCACCCGAAGTGCAGCTGGTCCCGAAGCACCTGGAGCCGTGCATCACGTACAGCAGGTTGCCTGCCAAAGTCCTGCTTGGTTTGCAGACGAAGGAGGAGAAGAGCAGGAGGGGA